CCCGGCCCCAACCCAGCCTGCGCCCATCCCTACATTTTATGTACATCTATATAGGTTTTTCGTATATAAAAAAATTGAAGTCAATTAAGTTATCTTTAAACTTTTTACATTCTAAAATGTAAAATATCTTTTTTAACTTTAGAATTACATAATCTTATCATGATAAAACGAAGGCACCAAACTACTTTTATAAAAGAAAAAATATTTAATCATTTATGTTCATAAGCTAATAGTTAATAACATAGAATAATTAAAATGAATATATAGTCAATAGCATATCTATTCACGATAACCTTAATTGTCGGAGAAAACTACAAACATTTCAATGATTCCATGTAACTAGTGGTTGGTTGACTCAAAAAGTGCTTCTGCAGTGCAAGAAAGTGTTTTGTGCGGGAAAATCAAATGTATCCCTAGGTTTTGAGTTGTTCACTTGCCAATACTATGGGTACAGACCATTTAGTCTTTTTAGATGCCTGACGATTGTATGTGTGACCCACTTTTTAGCACTAAGGCAATAACATAGAGATGGCAGTACTCTTCAAAAACCCCTACCGTGTTAAGAAGTAGGTAAAAAATACTAATGTTAAACTAAAAGTCTAAAGTGTTGGTATACCGTAGTAGTAGGGATGAAAGGAAAGGATGAAAGTGTAATATGCCTTTTGTGTTTGTGTATGTTCTTGAAGAGATGGGTATTAATTCCTCCATTATTTCATACAAATTGATGGGCAAACATTAGTGAAGCATGCATAATAGTCATATCATGACTAAAATGGGTGTGATTTTTGTGGATAGTGCGATGTAGAAATGTTGGATTCCATAGAGATTGAATAATAAGGTACAATAGATTTGTAGCTCAAAAATCTTTTCATAAGATCACTCAAATGCATAGATAAAATATTGGTGCTTTCACGTCAATTTATCTTTATCTTTTAATTTACTTTAGTAGAGATTTTTGATGGATTTGTTTTCATTTAATATTATTGAATCCAAAAAAAAAATGTAAAGTTGACTTGAATTAAAATGTACAATTTTTGTCAAAACTAGTATATTGAAGTAAAATCACTTTTAGATTTTTTATGAATTTGGTTGGAAGTCTTGATTAATTTAAGTTATCCCCCAAAAAAAAAAAAAAAAAAAGTAAGTAAAGAAATGATAGTGATTAAGGAAGAATATCAATTGATTATGGTTAGCTAAAGGGATCATTTGCACAATAAATGACTATGTCATTAATACATTTAAAATTCAATAAGGTATCCATTCAAGCTTCCTTTAAAAATCTTTTAGTTAGACTTATTTACTCACAAAAAGAGCTATTTAAAGTTATAAGCATTTTGAAAAAAAAAAAAAAAAAAATTAGATTGTTGGTTGTATTTCAAAAGTGTTTATAAATTTAAAATAAACTATTTACAGCTTCTCTATAAGATCTTTTAAACTATTTAAAGTTTAAAATTTTAAAAAGACCTTATATATTATATAAAATTGACTTTGATTTGTTTTTGTGTGTTAAAACTTTTTGATAGATTAATATTGGAAAGTCCTTTTATATTTTCCTAACAAAACAACTTATAAGGGGTATTATCATTTATGGGTCATTCGTTTCAAAATATGATATAGATTATAGAAAGTCCCAAATTCGAAAACACAAAAATAAAATGTCCATAATAGCCCTTCTTTACCAAAGATATATTATAAAAAATAATAGACATAGCATTTTGCAAAATTTTATACTACTAATTATGTAACCAAATCTTTTACATTAATTCTATAAAATTACATAAACCCATCACAAAGAAAGCCCACCAAATCATGGAGTGATCAAAGAAGACTACAAAATTATTATTTATTAAGCCATTTTAAGAGCCCGATGGGCTTACATTGGCATGCACTGGTTTCAAATCTTGGTTAGCTCCCAGGCCCTAAAATGAAAAGAATTTAAAGATTGGCTAAGGCCCAATTATTTTAGGGGTCACTGAATTTTGTAAAAAGAATTTCTCTGTCATTCTTTGCATAAAAATTTTAGTCAATACTTTTTCAAAAATATAAATACTAATATAAATGAGGATTTTGTTCTTTTTTTTTTACCCCATAATGTTAATGTAATAAACTTGCTTCACACACATACAAATATATATATTTTTATGATCGAGAGTGTCCAGGCCAGTTTATATACACTTTAATTAATCTCTAAAGATCTTGAAACTATTGATCAAGTAAGAGTTTCAGTGACTACCCCCTCTTGAGTAATACACTCAAGAGTCTCTATAGAATCATTCGACCATGCAAAGATAGTTAACATAGTATGATATTATTCACTCAATCATGCAAAGATAGTTAACATAGTATGATATTGTTCACTTTAGGTATAGCGTATGTAGTTCTCCCTCTTGGGTTGCCGAGAAGCTATCTCATGAGTCTTTGTCAGAAGGTCTCGTCAATTTAGTTTTTTACTATTCATTGTGTTATCATATCAATAAGAAAGCAAAGGCCATAGCATTTGATGCAAGTAGGGCAACTATTGTTTGCATGATGTCTCCTTTAGTCATTGTCAAAAAAAAAAAATGTGGTAAATTCAAAAAAATTCCAAATGCAAAGGACAAGTAATCAAAGGACATAATGATGTTATTCCAAACCATGAATTAGTCTAATCAAGTGATGATGTAATCAAGTAATTAATTAGGTAATGAAAGAGGATTATGTTGAATTAAAGTAAAGGAGAGAATAAAACGGGGGATTGTGAGGTGGGTTTGAAAGGTAAAAAGAATGGTAGGATTGTATCTTCTTTTTGTAACTTAATTCCAAGATTAGACAACCAGTCATTTCACACAAAGAAAGCACCTAATTCCACTTTGACTTGTTTCAAAACAAATAAAAATAAAAGAAAATGGGCCATCTAGATCCCACTTTGCTTCTCTTATAATTACTATTCAAAGAGAATGATTTTTTGATAATAATGCTTCTTCAACTCACTATTTAAAATATTTATCTTCAAATATAATTGAAAACTTTCTCTAAGAATCACTAATCATATATGCAATTGAGAAATAAAAAACGCACCACATCGTAACATACAAATCCAACCAAAATCGAAAAGTGGGTGCATAATAAGGGAGGTCTCTTGACCCCGCCACATCCCTAATTTTCTTCAAACGAAAGAGTCACGAGTGATAAAGTGTATTATTTGTCTACATTACTAAAGGATAACTTGGTACACATTTCTTTTCTGTTGGATTAGACATAAATTACAGAAAAGAAAAAAAGCAAAACAACAAACCAAGCCACAAAGGCCATTACATTACAATCACCATCTTCCATTCCTCTTTAACCATTGGAGTAGCTTCTCACCCAAGTCCATTCCATCAACTTCAATTTTGATTTTTCTTGTTTATATCATTCAATTTCATCAAATCAATGATCATGATGTAGAGATGTAGATGTAGGAGTCCCCACACCCAAATCTAATACCTATTTTGTTTCAATTACAATACATCAAATTAAAATAAAGGTCACGTGAGATGTGTCCATTCTCACCCCCCATCGAATAATAACACACTTCCACTACAAAACAATTGACAATTTTACACTTAATCTAATCCTTAGGGAAAATTATCTAACAATAACTCATTGTCGTAACCTCTTAAGTAAAGCATGGACATAAATATTAACTTAAGACTGTAGGTTGAAGCTATACATATTTTCATTGGTTTGCCTTTCTCGTTGGGTTACCCATAGGTGGGTCAAATGAGTTGTTTTGAAAAGATTTTAAATAGGTTAGATATTGATTAATTTAAGACTTTAACGTGAAGAATCTTTTTGAACATATGCTCTTAAGATATTGATCAAGTAATTAAAAACTATTATAATACTCTAGTGATTATGAACCGCACAAGATTCAATTACCAAATATATATATAACCCACCTTGTAATATGTAGTGTATAACGAAAAAAAGAATGAGAACAATAAAAAGAAAAGGTAAAAGGGACTTCAGAATTAGAGTGCTTTGGGGAACCCATTTCTCTCACACTTTTAATATGCATCTTGGCTCTTGCAACCAATCCCCAAACCTTTTTCTTTCCAAGATCTAAAAAACAAAACAAAACAAAACCATAACATAAAATATGATTAATTTTGTAATTAAGCTCATAAATCTATTGTCTCTCTTCCTTTAATTTGTATGTGCTTTCTCTAGGGCTAATCTTTGTGGTTTATTTTATGTGATTTCATAGGGATTGGAATTGGTCAAGCTTAGCTTTTGGGATTGTGATTCCCCATCCCTTTCATTCCAAGAAATTTTTAATTGATAAAGAAAGGTTAATATTATGAACAAAGCAAGCCCATTCCTTTGTCTCTCTGTCTTACTCTAAACCCTTGTTTTGCTTTAATTAATCAAATTCAAGGCCGAAACAAAAAAGTAGGTTCTCTCTTGTCAAACTTTCTCTTCCTTACTTCTGTACCTCTTAAGGAATCTCTTTGGTCAATATAACCACTAAACTATGTTGTAATCTCTTCTCCTTTTCATTCCATTCATATCCCAATTCATGGGTTCAGCCTCAAGCACATCTTTTTCAATTCTATGTCCTGAATTTTCAATGTATAGATCAAAATCTATAAATCGTGGGCTCCGATTCGTTTACACTAATAATTAGTGTTGTTGACGACAGACGGGTTAGTCATTAACTTGGGCAATAGTCGCCTAAACCAATAATTAGTCATTGAAAACAGTCGCTTATACCAATAACTAGCCATACAACCGTTGCTTAAACCAATAACTAGTCATTGAGGACAATTCATTCCCGGACACGACAAAAACTTTAGTCATTAGTCGCCAATTCATTGGCAGGAAATTTGAGTTCATTTGGTAATTTCATAGTCCCTATTCCCTACACATTGTGGTTAAAAAAAAAAAAATTGAGTTCATTAGAGTCACAATTACTTTCTATATGCATTTTTCGATATGCGTTATGGAAGTTAGTGAGATTGGCCACTATGGTTTGCACTGAATTCTGGGTTCTGAAACTACACACAAAATGAAAGAAATGAACAACAAAAACAGAGGGATTTAAAAAAGAAATTGAATTAATTCTGAATTCTGTGCTTGTATTCACTAACAAAATTTTCCTTTGATTTACAAACATTTATAATTTTTCTTCCCCTTTAAACTACCATCTAAGCACCCAATTTTCCCACTGTCCAAACACATTCATTCATTCATTCATGTACTCAGAAGTCAGAACGGCATAATATGAGTAGTTTTCGTATCATAACTAGACAAACAACTCGCCTTATAATTCACCCGAAATATCTTCAACAAATCGGAGCTCATTTGCCTCACTCCCGGTGAGCAATTGCTCTGCATCACCATCAAAATCTTCGTCAATCCGTTCCCCATCGTCACCGCTTCCTGCGCCCTTTGATCTCTAAACAAATAGCACACGCTCCACACTATCGTCACCGCGTGCTCTGTCGCTACACCCGATACTTTCAACATTTTCTGTACGATCGCTTGCACCAGATTTGAATCGTTACAAATTTCTGCCCTCCCTTGCTTGCTATAACACAAAGTTTCTAACAATTTCAACACCTTCTCCGTCGTCGAAACGGAGACGTTTTTGTCTGTTATGAGTTTCTTCAGCTCCGGGATGAGTTTGTAGTTTGTTATTAACTTTGACTTCAGCCGTTTGGATACTGAAATTGAAACTAAACAAGATAAACACGAGCCGATTAGAGGTTGATCGGCGTTGTTCGAACTTAATATGTGTTTGAGCTCCGATAATAATCCTTCACTTTCGGCGATTAAAAGCTTCGACTCGGCGTCAACGGCGATGAATTCAAGGATTTTGAGCGATTCGATTTTTGAATCTACGTTTTGTTCTTGTTTCAAAACGAGAAGGAGCGAAGTCAAGCTATCTTGATGTTTCTTCAACATTAAGTTCATCAAATGTTCTTGATCTTCAATTTTGTTCAAAATCAACGCCAAAACCCTAACTACTTGCTCCAAAATATCCTTATCTTTAACCTTACTCAAAATCTCAACCAGCATGATGACGAAGCCGTCCAATTTCGCGAGGAATTTCTTGTTCTCGTCAGATTCTCGCGCGAAGGAGATTATCTTGGAGAAATTCTCCAGGAAATCTTCATTTTTAATATCCGTCTCTTTGATGATGTCCTTCACTTGATCTTGAGAGATGACTACGTTCGCCAACTCGGTTGAGTCGACTCGGTGCTGCTGCACGGAGTCTGACCAGATCTGGATGAGACGTTGTAACGTACGGTTAGGAACAATCTCCTTGCTGTGAAGGACCTGCATCGTCGCCGGACACGTGTTGTTGCCGCTGTCCAACCAACGTTGGATGCTGGCTCGGTCGTAGGTTACGCCCGTACAGAGACTGACAGGTGATTTCATCACGTCAAGTGAAATCGGACACCTGAAGAAACTCGGAACCGTAATGTACAAATCATCCCTGACCATTTTTCCTCTCGTTTTGGCCTGTTTGGCAGGGCGGAAAATTCAGCGAGAAAGTTAGGGAAAATCCACGGAAAAATGAAAAAAAATTAAGATTAAAATTGGAGTGAAAGGTGGTGGAGGAGAAGAGAAGCCAGTGGAGGTGGGTTTAAAGAAGAAAGAGAAACATAGTCAAAGGTATACTGACGTCATCATTTTCTTTATTTTCATTTATAATATTCTCTCGCACTTTGGTCTTTGGTCAAACTATCATTTTATTTTTCAAATATATTTCCCTTTTACTTCCGTCCGGGTATCATGCACTTTTTCATTTTACGTAACCGAATCAGGTCCGTCCGATGGTAAGACAAAACCTGATAGACGGCTAGGAGGGGAGGGATGGGGGAGAGAAGTACACGTGGAGCAAAGTGAGAGTAGATGATTGATAATAAATGCGCATAATAAGGAGGGGAACGTGGGGGTGGGGTCCAGGGAGCAATGAGAGGTGGGACCCGCGGAGGGTTCTGTTGGTCGGTCCGGTTACATCACTTGTACGTTGAAGATACAGAACTGTAGAGAAAGGGGAGACTTTTGATTTGTGGGTGGGGGGTGGGGGGGATTATTATTTTATTTTATTTTTGTTGAGTTTAGGTAAAAAAATAAATAAAAGTATTTTTAATTATTGATTGGGAGTGGACCAACTAGCCTTATTCGGGGTTTTGCTTTTTTATAATGCCGCTCCACTTCTGTCTGTTTCCTTCCCTACCTTTTCGTTTTAATTTCTTGTGCAAAAGAATTCCCTATTCTTTATTAATTTTGTAGTATCCATATTTCTTTTATAAATTAAATAAAAAAAATTATCACCACACTATTCTTGCATTTACTTTTGATTTAGTGAATGTGCCTAACAATTAGGTTATTTAAATACAATTCTTTTTAAAAAAATGAATATAAATTATTTATTATTGATTTGGTCTCGTCGGATTTCTTAATTTTATAATGTTTTCAGAAAGTATTTTAAATTTGCATTAATAAATAAATTTAATTATCAAATAATCTCTTATAATTATTAAAATCTCCTATTAAAGTATAAAAAAAATTAAATAAAGTATATTTAATTCTTTTTTTTTTTTTTGAATCAATAGAGTTGATAAAATTAAGCAATTGTATAAGAAGAACTGTAATAATAAATGGCCATAGTATAATCGATTAGTTTTAAGATAAATAAAATGTATATTAAAATTTCTTAATTTATGTTCTTTAATTTTATTAAAAGAGTAGTTTTCAATTTATTTTATAAAATAAATCTCTTTTTATAAATTTGGAAAATTTATTTACTTTGTTATGATATACATATACATATAATTTCTTTTTTATAATACCCATATATATTACCAAAAAAATAATTATGACTTAAAGTATAATTTGTCATTAAGCATAACTTGAGTTACAAGAATTAATTTCATAAAAAAAAAGTAGATAACTTGTTGAGTGCTTCCCCACTAATTCTTAGCAGTTAGCACCATGATGAAAGATTTTCAAATAATTATAAAGCACGTGTGGAACCCATAATTTTATGCCAAATAAATTAAAATCATTACAAGAAAATATAATTTCATCTCTTTTACAGAGATATAAAGTCTTTAAAAAGTTAAAGATTGTTTTTGAGAGTGGAGATACTACATTTAATCATAAAAAAACTTCTATTTTGTTGGAGAAAAATGGTTTTGATGAAGAAATGATCAATGAAGAAGAGGGTATTATTTCTTATCAAATTAATTGAATTTCTTTATAATAAAAATTTATAATTTATTTCTGCAAAATGTTTTATTTATTTCAACTGTGAAATATATACTGACATTATCATCCATTTTTTATGTGATATGTTATATCAGCCACTATTAAATACCCATAAGAAGTAGGTTTTTAATACTTTTACTTGGGTTTTTCTTTATGGTTTCAAAAGGATTCCGAAATCCGAATACTCTTAAAAGTTTTCAATAATTTAAAGAGAATATATTATAATTTTCGAGAAAATAATCTAATAATCTCTTAAAAATAGATGAAATTAACTGAAATTAGAAGTATAAAACTTAAAAAAAAAAAAAAAAATTTGTAAAATTATTGATCTTCATTCGATGGGTCGTCGGAGCACTATAGAAGATTCCATAAATTATGATAAAAAGAAAGAGACAAGTGAATAATAATGAAAAATAAAAGCTTCCCCCCATCCCATAATTGATGGATTTAAAGAGAATTAATTGAAGCGTGCAACACTGCAACTGGCAGCTGAATCTAAAGCATTAATGGATGATTCCATTCAATGCAATTTACCTTTATTTTTATCTTCCAAACATCATCGATCATTGCATTTCCACCGAAAGTTTTCACCATTTATTTTTATTATTTCTGCTCTTCCTCTACCATTTTTCTTCCTTTCTTTTGCTTTATATCCATGCCTTGATATTCTATAAAGGTTTTCGCCATCATTTTTCACCTTCTATCTTTATATCCGTAATCGATTTCCCTTTCTTTCACCCTACGAGACAATACCCTGATCATTACGTTTTTTCATGTGGGTCGAAGTTTACTCAATAAGGAATCTCGTTACCTTAAAACCGTTCGACTTATTGTCGTTATTTATGGATAAACGAAAATTATATTTATGTTTTACTTTATTTTTATTGATATCATCGTGGAATGAGTTACGAGTTAATTAATTGATGGAGAATGAATGGAGGTTTTTTTTTTTTAAGTTGAAGTGAAAACAAAAAATAGTTTTAGATTGGGGATAATCTTTGAGCCATGAATAATCATTTTTCAATTAAAATTTAAAGAGAGCCATAAAAGAACGGTAATTTTCTTGAGAAATGTAGATAATGAACATAGTTATAGATATGAGCTTGTTTGGTTAAACTTATTTACAGGTAAAAACTCAAAAGGGGTTATTTAAAGTTATAAGCACTTTTGAAATTTTATTACGTTGTTTGTTGCATTTTAAAGATGTTTTTAGATTTAAAATAAACTATTTTATAGCTTTTGAGCTTATTTAGAGTTGTTTGGTTTGACTTCTTGAATAGAGCTTATAAAAGTAGAGTTTTTGTGAAACTTTTTTTTACTTGTTTAGCTAGAAAAAATGTAAATGCGGTTTCAAGTATTAATTTACCAACAAGACCTTTAATATATAAGTATAGTTCAAGTCAAATTTATTAAATATAATAGGAATATTTTTTAAATTTCAACAATTTAAATAAGTCCGAAAAAGAGCTTATGGGAAAGGTCAAATTTTGAGCTTCTCCCATAAGTTATAAAATAACTGTTTTATAATTGTATAAACATTTTTTAAATGCAACCAAACAACATTAAAAAAATTATCACTATTCAGTTTTATAAATTTGACTTGATCTATCCTTTTTGGTAAATTAATAATATAAAGCTCTTTTACATTTTTCTAACCAAGCAACTATCAAAATTTTCATAAAAACTTTACTCATATAAATTCATCTTCCATAAGCTCTACTTAAAAAAGTCATACCAAACAAACCCATGAACATTTTATTTTATTAACGTCTCAAAAATTTTAAAATTTAGACTAAATTTTTTCACGTCAAAAAAAATGTTAAAAAGCAAAATTTTGTAGTGCTAGAAATTTGCATAGTAGTTTGTTAAGGAAATTTAGTTCGAATTTTTAAAAAAGAAATAACAAATCTAGTCTAGTCTTATTAGAAAAAACATTTTGTATTGTTGAATAATACATTTATAAAGACACGAGTGTGTAAAGCAATGTAATGGACCAGGGCATGAAGCACGTACGTAGAAAAACGAAGCAATGATAAAGACACGAGTGTACCTTACGGCGTCGTGTTTATGATTGTGATTGCAACAACTATGCTCGAAGTCAATTAACTTACCAACCTAACACTAAAGTCCAATTTGGTGGGTTTCTTTCTTATGTTCTATACGGCAATTAATTAATTCCAGTTGCTTACTTCACTTCTTTTGTTCAAAGTCAATTTTTAGAAAATCTTAGCCTTATATTTCTTAAAATTCATCTTCCAAGTTTCAATTACTCCTATTTCAAGCATTATCAAGTTCAATTGTTTTGGTTTCCCAACCTACAAGTCAATGATATCGTCTCCAAAATTTATCAGAGGCTTAGAAAACTAACACGAATTCTATTGCCGTGAGAACTTAATACAATCATGAGTTAAAATAATATTGCTTTGATTGGATGTTACTGTTAGATTTATCTTATTTGATTAAAATGATATTTTAAAACTTAGATTGAATAGTATATATGCACGGTCTTAACAAAATTATATCAAGATGTCCTAATTAGAGAATTTCTATTTATTTAACTATCATCTTACCGTTTATTTTAATACTTACAACTTATTAGTATAACGACGGTTTTCTCTTATATAATTTTTTTTTTAAATTTATTTAAAATCACTTAAAATTACATGATAATAAAGAAACTAGCTAAATCTAAATTATGTGGAACATGTAGAGAAGAACATAAGTAAAAGTTTGGTGGGGTGATAATTTATTCAACCATCCCATTAAAATATGAGTTAATATTACTATTAAATTGTTGAAAGTGGCAATTTAATGAACAATGTTTGCCTCATTTGTTGACTTAATTGCACTTTGTGGGTTATTTTCTTCCAATTTTAGGTCAAAAATATTATTATTCTTTAGAAATGTAACTTTCACCTTTTACTAATTTGACTAGTTTAAAATAGTTTATGAATTCTTTTTAATTGTCGCAATATCAATAATAATTTTGTCCACAAATTTAAAAAATTGAGCACTAATTTATTTGATTGAATTAACTTTGTTTTTATGAAAGATTGATGTTAAAAATAGATTTTGGGTGCAAAATACAATCTATTATGGATGTTATTCTCTTATTCCTTGACAGATATTATACTAATAATATTCCAATTTAATATTCAAAAAGAGGATTACAAAATCAATTTGAAGAGAGTTTCATACAAACATTGTTGACTTAAATTCTTCCTTCTCATACTATATTCTAAAAGGAAATTCATGTTTTTTTTTTTTGTAGCTATGTTTCCACTTAAATGTCACACTTAATTGAATAAAAGTTTGACCATGGATTATATTCAATTTTTCAATGTGTTTATGATGATAAAAGTTTGA